CAAAAGTAATGGCCAATGTTCCAAGCTTTTTTTCAGAGCAACTTTTTTCCATCAATACTTCTTCTTTAGAACAGATGTAGTGTACCAACGAAAATCTGTTTTCATGCTCTATCTAACGATGTCTGAAGCGGGCTTCCACTATCATCTGTTATGAAGTTACTGAGCTTCAAATAACCGCATCCAAATTCATAATTTCATTGCATCCACTATTCTGGCCAGATTTCAAGCGCGTATCAAGGGCACTCCTTCGAAAATCTAGCTATTCTATGCAATAAAGATCTTCTACGTTATGCATACTAACTGTATTCTTTGAGGTTATCCAGACTGAGATACCGGCGCTTAAACATGGGTAGCTGTTGCGGTAACTATAGAACCCATAATTTTCTTCTGAAGAAGTCATTCGCCAAAGCTTTGCTCAATTTGGTAAGCCTAGGGCTAAGCCATCCTATCAGCAGTTTTTGCATCCAGCTGTTCAGTAAGTAGAAAATCAGAAAATTCTAATAGGTTGATGCAAAAGTTCTTTCTTCCCATTTTCAAAAATTCATAACTTCGGATTTTTTCAACCAATTTGGCTGCATCTATATATGAAAGAGTAAGTCATGCTCTTCATAATGACATCTTAGTTGCTTGCTAATGTTGATTTGTTGCATAGATAGGAGCGATAGAAGAAAATTAGTCAAAATTTGAATTTTCTGTGTAGGGTCATAAAAAATCGGAAACTTGCAAGAAAAATCGGAGCAGTCAGTATTGTAAATTCTTTCATCGGCTCTTTCTAATACTGCAAAGTTTGCGCCGATTGAGCGTCTCTACGAAAAGTTATGATTTCTCTGAAAAATACCAAATTAAATCAAATTCGCCCTTTGTATTGCTTGCTCGAAAATCATAACTTTTCATAGAGACGCCCAATCGGCGCAAATTTTGACTGTTAGAAAGAGCTGATGAAAGAACCTACAATACCGACTGCTCCGATTTTTCTTGCAAGTTTCCGATTTTTTATGACCCTACACAGAAAATTCAAATTTTGACTAATTTTCTTCTATCGCTCCTATCTATGCAACAAATGGTCATTAGCAAGCAGCTAAGATGTCATTATAAAGAGCATGACTTACTCTTTCATATATAGATGCAGCCAAATTGGTTGAAAAAATCGGATGTTATAATTTTTGAAAATGGGGGGAAAGAACTTTTGCGCCAACCTAATATATTCGGGACTCTGAAGCACACTGAAAAATGTTGAAAAAAGTGAGAAATTTTAAACTTTGATTTTTTTTCCTTTTTCACAAACTTCTTTGTCCGAATTCTTCCTGTTGTTTTTTGTACTACTGGCTTGCGGCTACAAGATGGGCTACTCATCATCCATACTAACAGGCTTTGAAGGAAGTTATGAATTTTCAAAAACAAGATTCTAGCAAAGGAAACTTTTTTGTCTTTTAGTCCGTATTTCTCTTCCCGTTTGTGGTGTTTGTATAAATGAGTATGCGCTGTATTGCGAAAGGTTTGCTGCTTCAGATGGTCTTTACCGTATTTAGAAACGTTGATCTTTTGAAAGTTATAGCACGTCAAAGTGAGAATTCGCAAAACGGCCATTACTTTTGCACCAACCTAATACAACTGGGCAGAGGACTCCGCCCCCTTTTGGCAAGCACCGCTCGCTTGGCAAAAAATACCGAAAATTGCTTGAAAAACAAGACTTTGTGCAAATTCCGGCATTTAAAAAGTGGGCGGAGCCTACCGTTGAGGAGCGGGTAGAGACTGAAGTTGCTTGGGGTTCTGCGGTCATCTTCGGGCCTTTTCTATGCAACTCGAAAAGGAAAAAACTTTCACGAAAGCCAACGGAGTGGGCGAAGCCTGCAAAAAAAGGGGCAGGACCGACACGAAGTACCCCTTAGCCCAAATAGATTATATGAACGCAAATTAGAACATTACACCTTAAAATTAAAATTTAGACTGTCGCGCACCATTGCGCGAAGCTATCGTAAATGTGTTAAAACATTTAGGATTCATCTAGGACAGTCAAGCACTTACATAAGACGCCGTCAAGTCATTTACAAGATGTAAGCTTGTTTAATACACTGAGCAAAAACTACTCAGTTTTTATATTTTTGAATAGGAAAGAGTAGTGCGAAGCGTCTTGACTGAATGGATCAAAGGTTTGATCCCTGCTCCTAGACTAATTCGCCACTTTTCAGACGCGGTAAATCTGTTACCGGGCACGAATGGCGTAATATGAGCCGAGAGTATGAGCAGGTCGGACTCAGGTTCGATCTCGCCACTAGGCCAACCAAGCCGTCTACCGTGGGGCTGGTAAATTGGTACCAGGTTAATCTGGGAAGATAGAAGCACTAATCTGGTAATCCGCTGGCCCCTACAAGTTGCTATAAAAGGTCGCACACATTCAGTGGGCTCTTTAACTATAAAGCAGGTGTGCGTTTATCTTTTTCTTTATATATGCACTCATGGTGCGCCCAAACAACTCGACAACATTTACTCAGTAATGGAAGAAAATGTCCCAGTCACACTTCCACATTCCAACCTAAGTACATAGGTCAAGTATAGAGACCGCAGAGATCCGCTTGAATCAAGAAGATAGGTCGTCCCGGAAGTTCTTTCGCACCAAATTCAAAAATTCATAACTTCTGACTTTTCCAACCGATTTGACTGCCTTTCTTTATGTTTGAAAGAGTTAGTCATGCTCTTTGTAATGACATCTTAGCTGCTTACTAATGTTCATCTGTTGCATAGATAGGAGCGGTAGAACAAAATTATTCAAAATTCGAATTTTCCGTGTAGGGTCATAAAAAATCGGAAACTTGCAACGAAAATCGGAGCGGTCAGTATTGTAGGCTCTTTCACTAGCTCTTTCTAATACTGCAAAGTTTGCGCCGATTGAGCGTCTCTACGAAAAGTTATGATTTCTCTGAAAAATACCAAATTAAATCAAATTCGCCCTTTTGTATTGCTTGCTCGAAAATCGTAACTTTTCATAGAGACGCTCAATCGGCGCAAACTTTGCAGTATTAGAAAGAGCTAGTGAAAGAACCTAAATACTGACTGCTCCGATTTTTGTTGCAAGTTTCCGATTTTTTACGGCCCGACAGAGAAAATTCGAATTTTGACCAATTTTCTTCTACCGCTCTTATCTATGCAACAGATGAACATTCGTAAGCAACTAAGATGTCATTATAAAGAGCATGACTTACTCTTTCATACAAAAATAAATGCAGTCAAATCGGCTGGAAAAATCTGAAGTTATGAATTTTTGAATTTGGTGCGAAAGAACTTTCGGGACGACCTAATACAGGGTGTCCGTAAAGTATGTATACACTGTTTGATCGTTAATGTCTCTTTTCCCAAGAAGTCTTTTGCCTTGCCTTAGATATCATTTTGTAGAGCTGGCTTCAACTTAGATTTACAGTATAGAGCGAATCACCCATCTCTCTTCATTACTGTAGGATTACGGTGGAAATTTCAAAGAGGATTTTGAGCCATGAAAGGCCATATTTTGCCACAGAAAGGAAACAAAACAGTTTAAAAACTTTATACTAGGCTAATTTGAGCTGCTGATCCTAATTGTGAAGTTCGCAACTCATTATGATGCTTCATTGAAGAGTTATGCCAGGTAAGAGGTAGCGGCCATTTTTCAATATTCCTAAAAAGTGCGATTGCACCGTTTAAAAAGCTTCGCAATCTTGTGAATAGTTGAGTATTGAACTCAGCGTCCATAAAAACCCTTTCACATAAGTTTTCACAGTTATTTGAAAATTTTTGAAACTGCAGTTTTTTCACATTGATACCATATGATTCAAGTTTCTACCGTAATCCTACAGTAATGAAGAGAGACGGGTGATTTGCTCCATACACTAAATCTAAGTTGAAGCCAGCTCTACAAAACGGTACCTGAGGCAAGGCAAAAGACTTCTGAAAAGAGATATTAACGATCAAACAGTGTATACATACTTTACGGACACCCTGTATAATGACTGAGGAACTCAAAGTATGTGACAAAAATTCTGCAAAATTGGGATGGAATACAAAATAAGAAGATAATTTATGTTTTCCGTCCGTTCGTTTCCCCTATGTTTGATTGTCAAATGTGCCTACATTGTCAATACCTAAGATCTCAAAGTTTTCGAAGTTTTTGGAGAAGTGATCTTTGTATCCGCCTATCATTTTGCATCTTGTCATTCGCGTTTATGTTTTAGTTTGAAGCCGAACTGACTTCCTCTCTTCAAACTGTACATCAAGGCCTTCAACGAATCTCTTTTCATTCCTCCAAGGCAATCCACAAAGCAAAGCAAAAAACTTCTTTATCACGGGCTGCAGGTCAAAAAACGCCTGTTAGATTCTGCCTGTTGCCTGCTGTTAAAAATCTGTAACCTTTGATTCAACTGGCTTGGCGGCTGGAAGGCGTGGCTTGTGATCTAATTAAGGCCGCTCGTGCCCGCTTCGCAGTCTGCGTCTCTCCCACGCTCGTGCTCTCTAATCATTACCTAGCCTTAGGTCACGAAGCCCCGCCTTCAAGCCGTAGGCAACTTATGCAATGGCATCGGAATTGTCTCAGTGGTCCTATTCAAAATTTGGGAATGCAATCAACGATGAGTAGATAACTCCTAGCTCTGCCAGAGTTTTGGAACTGCTATGTTGCTAACATAGAATCACTATGAGAGATAACATCTAATAGTTTAGATACTTGTTTTTCACCTCGTCTTCATTTTCGACTCTCATGGAGTCCAGTGGTCTCTATAGTACTATCAACTATCCTTCCTCATTTTTCAGGCCGGAAGCCTACCATAAATCTTATTTTTACTTGAGAAACTGTTATAAGTACTGGGTGATATTAAGAATTTTTATGTGAATACATTGAGGAAATGATATGCTTGTGTTGCGAAACTAATTATTACAACTAGTACTCAACTACAAAACTCAGTCTTTGTACCAGTAAAGGCAGCTTACAAGGCAAAAGGGAATGGAATGTATGGAATAAAAGTCATCCGAGTTGTTTAATTATCTTCGGATGATTCGGTCTCTATCGTCTCTGTCTCGTTTTTCTGGTGCTTGAGCTTCCATGCCTTTCTCCTCTCTTCTCTGTGTTTTTCTGCTGCTTTCTGAATGTTTTTCAATGAATTTGAGAAAAAAATTGTAGTTGAGGTATTTGTACCTTTTCGTCCTCTGGAAGACTGTTCATCCACTCATGCATCTTCTTCTTGAAATCTTCGCGGCTTTCAGGTCGGGGCTGAAAAAAAAACATGCTAACATCTATTTTCTGCTTAGAAATTTCTGAAAGATGTTAGTCAGCTGAAGGAAAACTCCTTAGCTTCTGTAATTAACTTACGTCCATTAATTTACGGAGCTTCTCCATATTTTCAGTACTTACACCAGGTATGTCTTTAAACTCATGCTCTAAATTGCTGATTCAGTTTGATTCTCAAGAATAAACTAAATCAAAAATTACCTTTTTTCGTGTAGATCACTAGAGCAATAGACAGGAGTACTAGCAGCTTGAACATTTTGTTTTGGTTCTGAAATTGCTGTGGTAATATTCGTAGAAAAACGTTAGTGTAGTCTGGTTAGGTTACGGTTTAGGAATGAGAGAAGAGATATAGATAGCATAAAGGGAGATGATTTGAAGAGTTCGGGTGTCAAAAAATGATATATATTATCATTATCTCTCAACCTGGTTGAGGTTTAGCTTTCATAGTAGATCTTAGGGATAGTATGTCTTTGCTAGTGTACAAAACCCAACAATTTACACAATTTGATTTCAAAGCACGACATCACTTGCTTTTTTTCTGTAGCGGTACGGTAAGGGTTAAGCTTTATCCAAAAAGGCTCGGAAATCTAATAATTCATCAAAAGGTAGTAGAAAAGGCTGTGCATTGAAACCTGTATTTGAAAATATTAGCTACTATTCACTCAGTTAGCTTGAGCTTTTAAATTGTTGAAGCTTTTTCGAAAATAAAAATGGTTTATGATGACTTAAATTCTTTTTCAAAGTCTTCACCGTAATCCTACAGTATAGTAAAGCGCAAAAACTCCTTTTCACTTCAAACCTAAGATAAAGTCAGAATGATATCCATTTGATCATTACAGACTTAAGGCAGGGACTTATAAGCGTACAACTATCAAACAGCATATATATACATACTTTCAAAACATCCTCTAGTTGTTTCCTTAGCTATTTGAGATAATCAAGTAGTTCTGAGCTGATGAAACTTTTGACTATATACTAAGCAAATTGTCAAGTTAGTGTCGCTGAAAAAGAGAAGAAATTGAGAGCGATCATTGAGCAATAGCGAGAATCACTATAGCAAACAGACCGATCGCAACTATTCGACCAACATCTCGTATCGAAACACTTTTATATAACCATTACTCAAGGCCATTTCCGCTCTTTATAATTAGCATCATCGGTTATTCGGCGTAGCAAAGACAGCATCATAGTTCTGTTACATTAGGAGCATTGAAGATGATCAACTAGATGTCAAGCGCAAGTCCATTGTCAAACAAAAGCGTTTCGCTAGTAAGAAATTTTACAACAGAGTCGGAGTAGTCAGTTTTCCCTTTTGATGAACCTATGCGCGAAAAGCACAATCGTTTGGCAACCTTGCACTGAACTTCAACCAACTCAATTATAGATCAGTGCTTTTTTATATTTGATATTGTTAGAAGCTAGGACATCGATGATGTATTAGGTTAATGCAAAAATAATGACCGTTTTGCAAATCTTTACTTTGACGTGCTATGATCCTCTGGAAAAAGTACCTTTTTGAATGGAATAAAGGCCATAGGGCATATGGGCCTACAGCGAACATCAGAAATTTTTTCCTAAAGCCTTGTTTTTGACAGATCATAACTCTTTTCACAGTTCATTGAAATGATAAGTTACCTGTTCTGTAGCCGCAAGGCAGTAGGACAAAAGAATATTAAAAAAAAAGTGTTTTGAAAAAGAAGATTTGCAAGGAGAAAAAATTAAAATCAAAATTTGTCAGTGTCCAGCATTTCTTCAGTAGGCCTCAAAGTCACGAATTATAGTTTCTGTATTGAACAGCTCAATGTTTTGCAAAAACTTCCAACAATATGCTCTATATTTAGGTTTACAGAAATGTGCAAAGCTTTGACAGTTGGCTCTTAGAAGAAGTTTATGGTTTATAGAGTAACAGCACGGCTACCCATGTTGAGGCGCCGATATCTCAATCTACATGATTCCGAAGAAAATAGTCAAAAGTGCGCAATGTATAGGATTTCTTTTACACATGGTGGTTGAATTTTTGAAGAAGCACCTTTCATTCGCGTTTGAATTCTGGCTAGTAATGTGAATGCAATGAAATTCTGATTTTGCATGCGGTTTTTTTGAAGCTGTGCTAGTTTTTGATAGAGATAAGGCCGGAAGCACGCTTCATCATTAGATAGAGAACGAAAAGAGTTTCTTTTCCTCTGCTGTATCTGTTCCAAAAAATGTTTTGATTGTAAAGGGTTGTCTCGAATACAGGCCTTGAAAAACGGCCATTCTTTTTGCATCAGCCTGATAGATTTCAACAAATTTATGTGACTTAATCTAATTCCATCATCAACAGTATCTAAACGTAATGCAGGTATCCTGACATGCTCTGAGAATCCAAAGTGAACATTTCTAACAGCATGAATTTTTGCTACTATAGAATATTTGCAAAAACATGAAGACAAAAGCAGGGTAGATTAACAATTTTGTAAAACAAATTAATCACTAGGTTACTTGGTTTCTGATTTTGGGTCTTTACGCCATAAACTTTCTTCGGTATAACCGTTCACTGCGTTACCAATCAAGTAACCTTGGCCTATGTTTGCAGACATTTGAGCATGTAACTGTCGGTTATCAGTCGCCAAAGAAAGAAACATCAGATTTTCCCTTTCACCTTTGCAATCATATTAGGTTGGCACGAAAGTTCTGTCGCACCATTTTCAAAAATTCATAACTTCTGATTTTTCCAACCGATTTGACTGCTTTCATTTTTGTTTGAAAGAGTAAGTCAGTCTTTATAGCGGCATCTTAGCTGCTTACCAATGATCATCTGTTGCATAGATAGGAGCAATGGAAGAAAATTAGTCGAAAATCGAATTTTCTGTGTAGGGTCATAAAAAATCGGAAACTTGAACAAAAATCGGAGCGGTTGGTATTGTAGGTTCTTTTTCTTTCACCAGCTCTTTCCAACAGTGCAAAGTTTGCGCTGATTGAGCGTCTCTATAAAATGTTGTGATTTTCAAGCAAGCAACACGAAAGGGCGAATTTGATTTATTTTGGCATTTTTCAGGGAAATCATAACTTTTTATAGAGACGCTCAATCAGCAGTTTTGCACTGTTAGAAAAAGCTGGTGAAAGAACCTATAATACTGACTGCTTCGATTTTTGTTGCAAATCTCCGGTTTTTTATGACCCTACACAGAAAATTCGAATTTTAACTAGTTTTCTTCTACCGCTCCTACCTATGCAAGAGATGATCATTAGTAAGCAACAAAGATGTCTTTATAAAAATCATGACTTACTCTTTCATCCAAAAATAAAAACAGTCAAATCGGTTGGAAAAATCGGAAGTTATGAATTTTTGAAAATGGTGCGACAGAACTTTGTGCCAACCTAATACTCTTATGTAAGTCAATTGCATTCTTCTTTGTTAAACGAGGTGCAGATACTTTATCAATGAGTATAAACGACTATATGTGGATTTTTCCAGAAAATCTGAACATCCTACTTCCCGCTCTTGCATTGATGAAAAGACAATTTGAAGAACCTCGCGCAAGTCTTAACCCATTGACGACGATGTGGACCACCGGTGGCCCACGCACTTTTTGCCGCCGGGGACGATGTAGACCACCGGTAGCCCACACTCCTTGCAAAATCATATCCTTTTCAAACCTAGTATTTTTCCCAGAGTTCAGTATTTTTTCCAGTTTTTTGCACTCTTGGAAACCGTAAATTTCGTCGTCCAAGAAGATGGCTGTAGTTGTCGCAAAACATTTTTACATTTCGTAAATAAGCACCAAACTTCCCCGCGCCTCGATTGTTGTGCAAAATCGCGTCGTCCCACAGCGCCGCCACGCAAAATTAGGCGTCGTCGTCAATGCGTTAAGGAGGACCAATTTTATAATCAATGAGTCTGGATGCCACACCTCCACAATTTTAGGTAAAATCTAAAAAAATAATTTTTTTTTTGAACCAAAAAAACTCTGGTTTAAATTTTACTTGCTCTACCAATCCTTACTTCCTGGTTTCGAACACCTTTCATTTTTTGGTGCGGTACACTTCAAATCAAGGAGAGCGGATTTCCAATCGTGTCATCCGCGAAATTTACTGGTTTTCCCTATTTACTACCGTCTGAGAACCAGTATTTTATAGAGGCTGTACCCAATAGCAGTTTTAAATTGCTGCCTTTGTCACCTTGCCAACCTTGAACGTTAGTAGACAATGAGCAAAAAAGTAATCAAAAACTAATGTTGTAGGAAGGCAGTAAATACCGTTCTATCCGATTTTAGGCTCAGATTGACATTTCTCTGAAAAGGGAGCGTTGTGGATGTGAATATATGTGGTTGCGATCGTTTTTGATTATTTCGCAGATTCAAGAGTAAGTCCAACCGCAGTACTGAAACAACAAATCGTATCTTTCGCCTTATAGGCAGTGTCCCGGCAGATTCGGGTCCTGGGGGATATACGTGTGGTGGGTTCCTGGTCACCCCATCGACCTCCAGGCGCACTCCGGCTGGGTGATGTTCCCCCTGGGCCGAGGAAATGGCCCTTGAACCGGCGCGCGCAACCCCAACTGGCGCGCGCTTGGACGGCCTTCCCCGCCTGTTCGGCGCGGGACCCCACGAGCGCTCTCCCCCATGATGCATGCTATCCAAAGCAAGAATTACAGGCGGCAGGATCTTCGTCTGAGGACCTCCTCCGACTTTCCATTAAAAATCTCGTCCAAGCTGCTTTTCTGGAATTAGGAAAACGCCCCAAAATCGGCCTTTTCAGCCCGTTCAAGGCTCAAATTCGGATTCTACGTGGCGAAAAGGCCTAAAACATGCAAAAAGGTGGAGGTGCAAAATCTGCCGGGACACTGCCTTTATGAGTCCGTACTTTGTGCTGTTTTTGTTCCAAATGCAGAAACAGTTAAGGGTATTCTGCACTTATTTATGCCCCCCCCCCAATTGATATGTGTACAAGTGAGACAAACAAGAGACCAAGGAACTTAAACGGAAATCAACCGTAACATCAATGATCAGGAACATTTGCATCGCTCTTGAATGTGCTAGAAAAAACTGACGACGTGTTTGGGAAACTGCAAAGTTTTCCAAATGTGCTTTTGATTTCAATTATCTGCAACGTTGATGGACTTGGAGCCAGTAAAAAAAGGGTTGTTACCGGTTCTATTACAGCGGATGACTTTGAGTTTTGATGGGAAGCAAATTTAGCAGAGCAAAATGTTTGTCAGACTTGATTTTGCGAGAATGTGTGGAGGCAATGCATTACTAGAAGCTTTGAAAAGCTCTAAGTCAATCTTTTAGATCATATATATATATACATATAATATTGCGTATGCTTCACCTAAATAAAATTCAATGTTAGGTGAATAAAAACATTCTTTGTCGTAAGTAAAAAAAAAGATAATACCACTACTTTGGTCTGGAGACTAAACACACCCCTTTGTGTTTGCAAACGTGAAGATTTTGAGAGTAAAAGTGGTATAGAACGCCCACAAAACTCTGTTAAATGGTTTATTGAATCTATTACTTCTATAAGTCCAGGTTGCGTACAATACGGACAATAAAAAATCCATCTGTTTATTATAGTAATTGCGAAATTACAACAGAAACACATCAAAAACAGTTGCATCGCAAACTGATGGTAAAACTTATTGAGCTTGACGATTTCTAAAGTTTCTGAATCTTTCACGCATTTGTTGTCTGTGTGCTTCTGCCGCTGCCTAAATAGAAAATATTTAGCTGGTTGAAGCAAAAAAATGTTTAACTTACTCTTTCCTCTGGCGACAATGAGTTCACCCATTCATCCATTCTCTGTCTGAATGCTTCCCTACCCTCTGGTCTACTCTGAAAATTTAGATTGAAAAAATACAGGTTTACTTCTGATTTTTCGTGGATGGCTTCCATTCAGAAAAACAGAAATTACTTACATTTCTCATCATTTCATGAAGTCTTTGCATGCTTTCTTTGCTCACTCCAGGGATACCTTTTTCCATAAATTCTGAAAATACAGATAAATATATAGAAATGTCGGGCTGGGTGTTATAAAATAAAAGGATGGAACAAGGATGGCTTCAAATTTTTTGTCTATTTCGATCTCTGAAATTACAATAATCGAGATGTTTTTGAGATTTACACCTTCTGTAATTTTAGTAGAATTTTTTGTTTGTTTGAAAAATATCGATCGTAATTCGGGTAAAGGATCACCCTGATAACCAATTGTAAGCTTGAAAACACTTACCGCGATGTCTTTGGCGCATCCGCTCTCTATGAGCTTGAGCTGCTTGCTAAATCAAAAATTCTGATTCAAGCGCGACGCTTTCAAAAATTTTGCTTACCCTTTCTGCTTCAGGTAGACTGTTTTCCCATTGTTCAATTCTTTGCCTGAATTCTTGGAATCCATTTGGTCGAGGCTGAAAACGGCAATACAGATATTTCATCTACACCGTGTACTTCCAAGTTTTAGCAACCATAATCGCAGGAACAATTACTTTCTCTTCACTAAAATATCTTGCAGATGATCTTCTAAAATTGGTTAAGTTTTGAGCTGCCAAGGAAAGGCTATTGGTTTTTTCCAAAACGTTCTAAGCTTTATGTTGCTATTAGAATACATACATTCATCATCTGATGGAGTCTTTCCATACTGGCTGCGCTAACTCCAGGAATTTCCATCCTGAACGGGCCGCCCGGACCTCCCGGACCTCCCGGACCCACTGCAACATACTTTCATAATCAATTGTTTGGGTAGATACTAATACTCACTTTGTGCGGTGACTATCATGACGAGAGCAAAAAGAGCTACCAATTTCAACATCTTGGCGTTCACCCAGTTGTTCCTGAAAAAATAAACTTACGGCAATTCCAATCTATACAAGGGGAGACTCGAAAACTTGGTCCGTAGGTTTGTGGACAAATGGTTAAAGTGGATATCCGCTATAAGGAAAATTACTATGTGAAAAATTTATTAGCACCTCTCGACTCCTGAGGAAAAAAGAATAGCGGCAGATTTTCCTGTCGAGGACTGCTAATCGTGCCAAGACCTCGAAATCAGAATCTCAAAACTTTATTCAACTGTTTTGTCTATATCCTCAATCTATGAATTAGTTATATCGCATCAGAAAGAGTAAAGGTGTTCCAAAGTTCTTTGTAGTATGTTCCGATCTTTAGTTAATGATTGATACCCTCACATAATTTCTTCGCCGTTTGTAAGTTACTTTTGATTGAAATCAAAACGTTGCGACTGTCTTGTCATGAAAAAACGTCGCGACTAAAATAATGCGCCGCATTTTGGGGTTACATTCAGTCACAATGTTGGGCACTATCCCACATTAGTTAACCCAAAAAATGAAAATTGCAGATTTGGCTAAAACATCATCTAAGGTTGTTATTTTGCATGCTGATTACGAATATCACATTTATTTCGCACGGTAATGCCATCTGGTGGAGTTAGGTAGGATCAAGGCAAGGGTCAAAATCACGGATTTGCTCCAAATTCTGTTAGGGGGTTCATTTTGTAGCTGAACATGACTAGCATATTCATTTCTTACGGTAGGAAGGTTTTCTCGGGTTACAGTGGGCATACGGTAGGTGGCCAAAAACTCCGAATTTGCTCAAGACTTTGCATGGAGGGGTTCACGAGCATGCTGACAACGAATATCGGTGGACTGTATGTCGCCGAATGTTGGAGGAGCGCGGACAACGCAGCAGACACTCAACCTGTGCATGTATTGGAATGTGTATTTGTTGCAGATGTCCGGCGGGACCTCCCACTTTAGGCAACATATAGTCCCCTGTCCCCTACCCACAAATATCATGTTTGCACGCTGCAAAAAGCCTTCCGGGCATGACATTGGTAATCAACATCTTAAGAGCCCCTCCATGCAAATTCAAGCAAACTCGGAATTTCCAACCATCTACCGTATACCCACCGTAGCCCAAAAAATGACGCTATCGTACGAAATGAATATGACATTCATGTCAAGCGTAGCAATAAACTTCCCAAGACTAAGTTTGGGGAAAATCCATGATTTCAACCCCTCTACGGTAACCCTACCGTGACTCCACCAGATGGCACTAAAGTACGAATTTAAGCTCGTCTGGAGGGGTGCAAAATAACCCCTCTATACGAATTTCTAGTGAAATCCGCGGTTTTTATTTTTTGGGTCAACTAATGGCGGGAATATAAGAAGCGCTAGAAAAATGTCAGCGGTGGCATTTCGATTAGCTCTTGAATATTTCGACATGAATTTCAGTAATTTTGCAATTAAATGAATTATTTTTTCGCGACTAAGATTATTCCAAGTTGGAGTAGCTGCTGAGTAACTGAAAGCATTGTATGCTGTAAACGCTTGTGGAAGGAAATGTTGTGATATTGTTTCAAAGAAGAGCAGCAATTTGGACAATATGCTGCAATTCTCTCCATTACGTGAATTTCGCTAAGATACACCACATTTTTTAGGAAGAGTGACTCAACTCTCTGAAAAGGTGTTCATTGGTTTTGATGCAAATTTTTTAGAAATGAGTAGCTCATACAATTGTTTTGGACCTCGATTTTCATGGTATTCCTTTCGGACAAGATCTGCGCCAGCTTTTATTATTTATTGTAGAGCTCCAAGCTTTAGCTTTCAGAAGAGTTTGGAAAATGTGCCAAAAGTGTATTTTTGAGTTTGAGGTCGATCAATGAATTAATAGATTAGAACATCTACGCCTGTCAAAAATATAGTGTGAAAGTCGAACATGAACTCAGAAAAAAACCCATAAACTCATGAGAAGATACTGCAAATTTTACAAAGTGTTCGCTTATTATATTTCGCTTTCTTCGCGTTCCCCTTATAGCAAGTCATACTTCAAATCTTACGAACAAAGGAATTATTGTCACCAGAGAACAAGGGACACAAAGTTGATGAAGTTGGTTTTTAAATTTTATTGCTAAAGCTTTTTTGAAAGGTCAGCAAAGTGCCTATTGCAACGATACGGCACATATTTGCCAAAAGTGTAAAGTAAAAAAGGAAATGTGAAGACTGTAAGACACATTTCAAGAAATGGAACAAAGCTTGCCTTTCTGTGAACATTTTTGCAGTCGCTATTTATACTAACAGGCAAAACCCCCAAATGTTGTCGCAATACCGGTTTGCAAATGTCGTTTTTTGTCATTTGGCGAATGCCGACTCAAGTAGTTACTAAGACTTACCGCAGCACTTTGCCTAACGCATAGACATTTTTATATTGGAAAAAAACGATCATTTTGTCGAAGGCTGACTAAGTAATCATTCAGATTTCCTGCTCACAAAAATTATTCACCAGGAAGTTGATTGCTCTGTCGCTGGCAAACGAAATTGCATCCATGGTAGCACCAACTTGTACTCACCACTAACATATATTGAAACGCATGACGCACCAATGTTTAGTCATTTTTTATAGACTTGCCCCCCTCCCCCATAATCTCCTCCTCTAACCACCAAAAAGTGGGTTGAGAAGTTCTGAAACTAGCCTGCAGGAGTCATGAATTTATGCACCTTATATCAAGGCGAAAAATACTTTACAAGCTTTGTTACTGAGTTCAGCATCTTCAAGACGTATCGAATAGATGAGTACCTTCTAATAACCTCAATTATCAATTATCCAGTAATTGTCGCCTTTACGTTTTCTCATGTACTCAAATCTTATGAGTAAGAGCAATCTGAGTCTACAAAATCAAACGCCTCAACACCACAGATCAACGGTTGTACGGTTTGATGAATTCGGAGAAAAAAGTTGTCCGCCTATTAATGCGCATCGTTTTGCGCATTCAATGAAGTCCAAAGTACGTCGTAGATGGCCATCAAATCAGTTCACTTATTGAAGCACACAGAGACTTTACCCTAGACAGACAATACGTCATAAAAAGATCTACCTCTGAGTATGGCCCGTAGTAAACCCCCCATCTGGGCATCTCTCTCGACGCGGACCGGAGTTGAGGTCATCGCGCTTCAGTCCAGCATCCAGTGAGCTATTGATTTGGATGTGGATCGCTTCCTAGGCATGATAATCACATGTGCTCTCAAAAAACCAACCACTTGAGCTGGTCTGGTCAAACGGATAAGCGATTGGAATCACACGCGCGCGGTCGTGGTTCGACACCGGCTAGCGCCACAGCTTTTGCTGCATCGCCAGACAATCTTTGATAGCGGCCATTGTCGAAAAAAATCGATGATGACCGCTAACAAGGATATCACTTAGCAAATGGACAGATAAAACAAAACTGACATATTTTGAAGGAGAATTCATGAAAAACTGAAATTTTTGGAACATAAATAAAACGTAATAAATAAGTAGATTCTCTTCTAAAGTAGTTTTTACAAGAAACTAAGATTGCTCTGCAAAAAAAAGAAGAAAACTTTTATCCTTGCTTTTGTCTCCAAATCAGCTGTTTATCGATCCTTCCCTTTTCGGGCGCCGGTATTGTGCAGTTTTGCGCCGATTTTTCTGCATTTTTTGGCAAAGTTGTGTGTATCGTAAGTTACTCAGGAGCAACTTATGTTAGATGCAGTCACCTCTTGTCTGCGTCTCCTTTTCTACACACTATTTGGATCACTCTAACATCCGTTCACGTTGAGGTGACTTGAACGTGAACTGATGTGGAAGAGTTGGCTGCGGCAGGTGGACAGATGGTCAACTATCAGTTGACTTGACCGTCTTATAGCATGGGAACGTGGACGGTGATCAGTTCACCTCACCTAAGGTGAACTGATGGGATAAGTTGAGTTCACCTCAACTGATCGAGCTTTACTACGGGCCTATGTCTTACGGAAGACACCCCATGCTGAAAACATCACTGACATACTTCACACGAGCACTGATGGTGAGCCTTTAGCCCTTTGCGTTCCGAAAACGATAAGAAGACTTCAGTCCAAATGGCTAGGAGTGAGATGTGCAGAAGTTGAAGTGAAAAAGGGGGTGCTTGCAGGTGTGTTCTTTCGTCGTCATTCTGGAAAGATTCTAAAAATGTGATAGATTTTTCGGGCGAAAAGTTTGATGGAACAATGAACTGTTTTTACGGCGTGAATGTTTAAGAACCATGTGTGGTAAAAAGAAATATAAAGGAGTTTTATATGCCAAATATTTGCATTACTGTTGCTCCTTTTCTGAATGTCTCGACTGTACATACTTCACTAGCATATTCAACGCATGTTTTGTTCAAGTGGGCTATAAATGTTGTTGTTTTGGATCTTCAAAGGAATTTCAGGGTTTCCAAAGCCTACATCAATATATTATCTATAAAGAGGAATGCGATGCGATAAGGAGGTAAGATGTGCAAAGAGTAACGTTTTGTTGCAAACGGAGATAGTGAGATAGTTAAAGGCAGTGGATCCAACAACTCAGATTTTAACGCGATAGGTCCCTTATCGCCTAGGTATGGAAGCAGTGCAATCCTGGTTGCACAGCATGCCTTCCCTGCCGAGAAATTGACTCTCAAACTTACACGCGCAGGCCAATCTTACACGCTTCCGGACGAGTTGGCAATTTCCTCCTCACCATTGGAGACTGCCCGCCGCAATGCTATAACCATTGGGTCCCGCAATGATCCTGCATCATAAGCCTTGCTCCACTCGTCCAATTCCGAAGGGAAGGGCATTGAAAAAACGCTCGCTTTCGCCGTTTTCAAGCTCGCAGAAGTGGATTTTCGGGATCAGCGTATTGAATAACCCCAGGTAAGCGAAAATTTGACTAGGTTGAGATTTGCCGAGCCACTGCCTTTGAGTTTTTGCTGAGATACAGCTCGCGATTGAAAGTTCGTCAGATATAGATACATTAGACTCATCTAATCAGGAACAAACCTAAGGCCTCGGGCCTACTTTCGGCGGTTTCAGTCGCAATCGGATCTATCTATTTGCCAGACGTATTTGAATTCAACACTGGCATCTGCAGATTAAAGTGTGTACTCTTTTATTTAACTGGCTTGACCGTTGAAAGTCGGGGCTTCGTGACCTAATTAAGGCTAGGCAGTAATCAAAGAGCACGCGCGAGAGAGACGCAGACTGCGTCAAGGCGCGAACGGCCTTAATTAGGTCACAAACAGCATCCAGGCGCCGAGCCAGTGAAGTAAAGGTTATAACTTGTATGGGCTAACAAAACGCCTTATCTTCTGTACATTTTGAGTGCGTCCCACGATGACCTATAGATGACTGAAGTATTGGCAAATTGTGCCGCCACTGAAATCGTTGAATTACGTTGAGGCAGAGCCCGGCTTATGTCCTTTCTATCCTTTTAAAAAACGAAGTCCCCTTTGACCTTTATCGTAAACGTCTGGAAAAAACTTAACCCAACTTGTGTTTTTTCGGACCACGAAAACGATAACATTGTTACTTTTTCGCACCGAAAACGAAGTCCAGCCTGCTTCCGAACGATTTGTGCCGGGCTTCAGGCCCCAGTGTCTAACACCGTCGGTGACAGTAGTCAAGACATGTTCGCAACATAGAGACGTAATGACTTCATAGGCCTCGAGCAGAGTTCACGCGAATTCATAAGTCGCGTGAACTCTGCCCGAGGCCTATGAAGTCATTGACCATACAACTCTAACAATATCATTGCATGCCGATCTTCTTGCATTTCGTTGCGATAATTTCCAACAGAACTAACCGCGACTAACCATCACAACCGAAATACAAGAAGATCAGCATGCAGTGAACTTGTAACACTTGTCTCGTCGCGACGAATCGCGAAGATGAAATCGCGTGAACTCTGGCCATGCCATAGACGGTAAAATAAAAATGGAAAACTCATAAGAACCTAATGATCGACTGCAGCTCCCGCAGTACATCAAAGTTTTCGCCTTCAAAGCATTCAGCAAAAAAATGAAATTTAGCAAAAAAAGGAACAGACAGCATGCCTTTGAAGATTTATTTGTAAACAGCAATTTGCTTTTGTCGTGTTTAACACATTGAAGATGTCCACTTTGCTACCCCAGTGAACAACCTCTAAAGTTCGAAACCCCAGAAGGTCAAGGATCAACACGCTTGCTATTAACAAATTTGTCGGACGAGACAGCAAACCTTGGCTAAGGAAGTTCTTATACCTCAGCGTCGGCAAAACAGCAGCTGTATCGTGTCACTCTGGATCAGCTAAAACATCTACATTTTCAAAACTCGAAGCGATGTAGTGAAGTAGCACAGGAATGAACATCGCTTTGAGTTGCTTCGATTTTGCACGTACTGTTGCCTTTCAAGTGCCCCCTCTCTCAACTGCGTCAACCCACGAGGCAGTGTAAATAATGGCCCTGTCCTAAGAGACAAATTCGCATGCGTGGCGACGCCTGCGCGGTTGCCTATTATACCAGAGGAATGCAAATTTTTTCGATTGTTACATCAAGGATAATCTTAAAATGTAATACATGCGCATCTCGAATAAGTAATAAAATGAGTAGTTTGATTTGGGAAAAAGAAGTATTGAGCCTTAGGCCTTTCAGTCCACTTCTTTAAGACAAATGATAAATATGCTCTCGAGGCTTTACCCATACATCCATCGCGCTTCGCCAACGTAAAGATACGGCACGCCCTCCCTGATTCCACAGTTACTAGAATACCAGTTCGCATATGTCCCAAGAGAAGGCCGGCTCAGTATAAATCCAACCTCAATTCTTATTGCTCTATTGCTAACTTGACGAAGATAATTTAAGGCAAGAGCTCAACATCCTTACGAGCACAATAGATAACAATAAAAAAGTTATAGATCGAAAGCCAAGTGAGGCGCCGCCGCTATTCTAGCCTTTTAGCTGGCAAATCACCAAGGCAAAGAAGGGTCCAAGGATGATTGCAGCATTGCGTGAGAAACTACCGTAATCGTCGCCGGATAGCGAGACAACCAATGCTCTAGGTCTGCTCCTTTGATTCAACGGGATTTGCGTTGAGGCTGGGTTCATACTTATCCGGGTTCTGGAGCAGTTCCAGCACAGTTTTCGGACTGTGCTGGAACTGTTTCGGAAACTTGCTGCATGCGCTAGCCGCCCGCATGCGGTTTGGAGCGGCACGAATTAGCGGTTTTGGCTTATTGAACGTTCTTGATCGTAAATTGCCCATTATTATATTTTGCCCATTTTCGTCTCATTGTTGTACCTTGCTTCTTCTTGTGAAGAAGAGAATTCCGAAATCGAAGCGAGGTTCAGAAATAAAGTTTTTCCATATTTTGTCATGCGTAAAATGTGCTTTCCTTCGCGCGCGCGCGTCCCTTCTTCTCCGTAAATTTTCCGTAAAACATTCATTTTGTATTTCAAAATGCCGCTGCGTCCTCGATATCCGAGCAATCTTCAGGAAGATGGTACCAACATCATAACTGCGGAGATCGCGAAGTTTTCTCGTGTGATGAGATTG